GTCACTATGTAGTGGACAATAAAAACAGCCACGAGACCTACCTGTAAATCGGCAAAAAAATTTAGGTTGTGCCAGTTTTTTGAAACTGATTTGTAGAGAGACGTACGTATTTCTTGATCAGTCATCAATTGCAAAAAAAAAAAAAAGAAAAAAAAACTGAAAACAATAGAAAACAGCGAAACACAAATCTGCATACCTTTGAAGCTTTCCCATACAATTCTCCTTATGGACATCTTTTGCATAAAAACTCTGTCTTTTGTCACCAAAAGTGAAAATTCTGTTTGTTTATGTAAATGAAACAAAAGAAGTCACCGGTCTCATTTATCATCAGTAACAACTCACAGGCAAACAAAGTTGTAGAAGTATTTTGTAAATGTAGTGCCACTAAGCACTTCTGTATATTAAAGATTTAGGTGAGATTATTAAACACTTATAGAATTGACGTATTCTATTTTAACAGTATCGTTCAAGGGACAACAATATTGTTCTCTAAAAGTATCCAATATTAAAAGCAAAAAATTGTTTTTCTGTTAAGACGTATGAAATGTTTGTGTTAAACAAACCTTTTTCTTTTTGTCACCACCAAAGCATTTTTTTTTTTACTGTTTTACATTATGCATCATAATTGGTTAGCTATCAGAAGAGATAAATTGTTACCAGGCACCAATATCAATATTCTGTTGGAAAGTGTGTTATATCAAAACCACATTCATTAGATGAGATTAACGTTTTCAAAAAATCAAGTTTGTTGGTATCACTTTTTCTGATTGCTAGTCTTGTTTCTGAATTGCAATTTTTTAGCATACAGTGTTCACGTAAAGCTGACTTCTATTTTTGAGGTCAACGTTCAACAAGTAAGGATTAATAAATATTTGGCAAAAATGAATCGTTTATGTTCTTTGAATTTTCAAATTTTCAAATTCAAAGTCTGAGAGAAGGATCAAAGCAGCAGCAGAGCATATATTTTGAGAAACAACTGTTTATCAACTTCCTTATTGCCACATGTTGTATGTATTTATAATAGGAGGACCAAAATGAAGACTCAAAACTTGCATTCAGTTGTCCAACAGTATTAAATTATCAGAAGCCAAAATTTAGTTGAAATAAGACATTCAGCCACAGAATTTCAATTATAAAATCTTAATTAAGCATTGATTTTAGAATGTTTGACGCTAACAAATAAACTATCACATGCATTTTGTTATACCACAAAATGTGGGCTGTTCTTTTTTTTTTTTCTGTCTTAGTAATCTTTGTTTGTTTGTTTGTTTGTTTTTAAAAAGATTAGTATCATTTTACCGGTAATGAAATGACTTTTTAATAGTTTTATAACACTTTTTTTTTTTTTGCTTTTTTTTTTTCATCGAATTCTTCATTGGTTACCGTTTGCTTAGATAGTAAAACACTGCAAAGAACACTTTTTTTTAAACTTTTTTTTCGACTGTTTTTTACTGACGTCTATTTGTGAGGCTAACTTTTTTTTGCAAAAAAAAAATTTCAAATTTGTCAATATTTTTTTTGAAAAAAAAAAAAAAAAAAAGTTCATTATCTTAAAAAAGTGCGATACTGAAGAAGGGTGGTGAAAAAGAAGTAAAGTTGTTGTCAATTGTCCCAATAATAGGAGAACAAGTTTTTGTACACCGTTTGTTTGATATTTTTTGATTATCTGTACACTGTTGTTTTCTTTTTTTTTTCTTTTTTTGCAAAATTTTTTTTTTTTTTGTTTTTTTGCAAAATTTTTTCTTTTTTTTTTTTTACCGAAATTTTAATTGCGTAATAATTCTTAACGAATTTTTAATCTGAATTGATGAACAGTAAAATTAGTGAAAAGGGGGGCGGGGAAGCGGCAGAGGTCGGAAAAGGGAAAAAAAGGAATGGAAAATTTATTTCTTTTTTCTTCTTTTTCGTTTTATGCAATTATCAGTTATCATTATTTGCAAATATAACTGAACACTTATCAGATATACAAAAAAAAAACAGTCAAACAAAAGTACTTACATACAAAAAAAAAAAAAGAAAAATTAATATAGGTTTGATGATTGAAATATTTGATGCTAAAATTGTGTTACAGTAAAAACTCATTACTTATTCAAATCCTTCTCACTTTTTTTTTCGTCTTTTTTATATTCTTTATAAAAAGCAGTTGAAAAGTTTGTATTACCACTGAATTAGATGTTTACTGTAAGAATAATATATAACAACAAAACGCATATTTTACTGTTACTTTCTTTTTTTTTGCGATGATATTTTAGATTACAGAATTTTGTTGCTAAATAGCACTGAAAATGTGGTAGTAAGTAACAAAAATTTTATAGTGATTATTGAACCCTCTAATCAAAGAACAGTAAATGATAAAGCGAAAAAAAAAAAGAAACAATTAGAAGATGTGAAATATTGAATAGTATCAAAGTAAAAAAAAACACTTATAATGTAACAGCTGAACAAAAAAAAAAAAGAAAAACTTCTTTCTTCTCCTCATTTGCCATTTTCTTTATTTTACCTCTCCTCTGTTTTTTTCTGTACAAAAAAAACCGTATAAACTTATTTTTTTTCTTTTATTACTATTATTTATCAGCACCCCTTCCTTTCTTATTCAACACTTTCCACTTCCACCAAAGAGAGAATTTTAAAGCCTTGTTTTTTTTTTTTTGTTGTTGCAGGTTTTTTTTTTTCTAGATATTTACCAAGTGTTGATTTTCTCCTTATCTTTACATCGTACTGTCCATATAATCAAAATATTAGCGTTGATCTGTAGTAAATTGATAAAAATGATGGCACTATATGAGTGAAAAGATTATGACAGCAACAGGGGAAGGAAAAAAAAAAAGCAAACAAGACGATAAAGATGATGAAGATGATGATTAAAAAAAAAAATATTGCAGAAAAATAATCTTAATAATTCTGAAGAATTTTATAAAAACAAAAACAGAAAAAAAAAAGAAAGAAAAATTAATAAGATTTAAATAAACAAAACAAAAAAAAAAATTTTTTTAAAATTAATCTCTTTTTTTTTGTTTGTTTGTTTAAAAACGCTAACT